GCCATGTTACTTTTGTAAAGTCTCATTTTACATTCAGGTATGCATGACTGAATTCTAAAGGAAGACTGTTACACATTAAACTGGAGTTTGTGAATATATCAGTAGGAAGAAATGCAGTAGTCCTTCTTTATCTACAGTTTTGTTTTCTTTAGTTTCTCTTATCTGCTGTGAACCTTAGACCAAAATATTAAATAGAAAACTCTACAAATAAGCAAGTTTTTCTAAGTTTTAAATTATGTGCCATTCTGAATATGTAAGTGCATAAGATATTTTGAGAGAAACCATATTCATATAATTTTTATTATACTCTATCATTATCATTGTTCTATTATACTATTGTTTTAAATTTCTTTTTTTAATATTTTATTTATTATTTTTATTTTATGTGTATTCGTGTATTGCCTGCATGTAGGTAAGTGCACCCATGTCATGCAGTGTCCGCGGAGCACAGAAGAGGCTATTGGATCCCCTGGAACTGGAGTTACGGACAGTTGTTAGCTGCCATGTGGGTGCTGGGATTGAACCTGGGTCTTCTGAAAGAACAATCAGTGTTCTTAACCACTGAGCCAGCTCTCCAGCCCCTGTTTTAAATTTCTTATTGTGCCTAATCTTAAAATTTTGTATTGAATTTTGCAATTTTAATACAATATATTTTGATGGTATTTAGATCCCTTCCCCTTACTGCCCCCTGCCCAATTTAATAAACTCTATTACATATATAATAAGGCCTATAGGGTCTAATTTGTGTCCCTGAATGTCCTTCAGCGTGGGTCTATCCACCGGAGCCTGGTTAACCTGCCAAGAGTCACATTCTTGAAAGGGACTGACTCTCTCCCTTCCAGTAGACCTTACTGAAGATACTACACACATGAACTATAGAATGAACAAGGAGAAATCAAGCTGGTACTGACTTCAAAGCTTCATCACTACTGGCTAGCTTTCATAGTACTACTGGAAAGTGCTATGCATGCTACTGGAAGAAAAAATAAATCAACCTTACCTGGCTATGAATCCTGTGAACTTCAACAACTGACCTGGCAAGATATGCCCACTGGTGTAATAGCGGCACAAATATTATTGGAGTAACCAACCACTTCTCATTGGCTTTAAGGTTTGCTTCTTAGGATGGAACCCATACCTGACATTGATAACAGGCCTAGCATTCTGAGACTAGAGAGGACACAGGACATAGAGGAGAGCCCAATATTAATTTTCTACTAAATAGTTATAGTATTAAACTGACTCCTAATGACTTATTGTTATGCCCATAGATTAATGCATCTCTCAACTCTCACTAGAGAACTTTCCTTATGCAGCAGATGGTGATTAATACAGACACTCACAACTGGTCAATGTGCAGAGAACTAGAGGCTTCAGAGTGCTTATCTCTGAGTAGGACACCTATATCGAACTTTTGCTTCCCAAGGTTCAGGGATCATTTTGGAAGAGGAGATGGGACGACAAAGAGAGTTTTCTGTACAGCTGGTCAATTACTCATATGAACTCACAACTATGGCATGCAAGCTCAACCCAGAAAAAAATCCCAGCATAAATGCAGGGAAATGGATAAGAAATCCCAACCCTATATGAGAACTATTGGAAATCAGTGTCTAATTATTTTTGAAGATTTATCTTTATTTCCTGTGTATGAATGTTTGCCTGAATATGTGCACTATGTGCACACCTGGTGCCCATGGAGGCCAGCAGAGGACACTGTATCCCTGTGACTGGAGTTGGAGGTAGTTGTGAGCTGCCATGTGGGTGCTAGGAACTGAACCTGGGTCCTCTGCAAGAGTAGCAAGTGCTCTTAACCAATGAACCACCTTTTTAGGCCCTAATGCCTAATGTTTCAGATAAACTTTATCATGGGCATACATAAAAAGGAAAAAAAGCATAGTATATCCAGACACTATTCAGCTTATGATGGAGTTACATTCTGGAAAGCTCATGGTAACTTCAAAATATCCTAAGATGAAAATGTACTGAATATACCTATTGAACATCATAGCCTAGTAACACAGGGCACTGTGGAGCATCAGTTCTCCTTAGACTGTGGGGCTGAGTGAGAGCTGTGGCTCACTACTGCTGCCCAGCATTATCAAAGAGTCTCATCCTGGGAAAATACCAAAATTCAAAATATTGTTATAAATAATGAATGCATTATCATTTTCACAGCGTCTTAAGGCTGAAAAGTCCAAGTTGAACTATCACAGTTTGGGGGAACATCTGGATAGTGTTTGGCATCTTGCAGTCATCCCCCATGGCTCTGGTATAACATTGCATCCCACATTGAGAGACAACATTCACTTGTAACTAAAGATACTTTGTCATGGGCATTACTTCTTATAGCTGTCATCCACATGCAGAGAACTTTTGAAGATGGTCAAAACAAAGACTTGTGTGTAGGCTTTAGGCTTCTAAAGTGAAGACGGCCTCATCAAGAGGAGAGGGAGTGCAAGCTGGGTGCGGAAGCGCACACCTCACTCGGGAGGCTGATGCAGGAGGATCAGGAGTTTCAGACCAACCCAGATCAACCAGAAAAAAATGGTACATGGTGAGAACACATTAAAAAAAAATCACAGTAAAAAAATAATGGAGTTGGAGGGATGACTTAGTCAGTAAAGTGTTTGCCTTGTAAACATGAGGACCTGATTTAGAACCCCAGAACCCTCATAAAAATGCCAGGGGCGGTGGTACCCACTTGCAAACCCAGGGCTCGATAAGCAGAGACAGGAGGATCCCTATGGATCACTGGCCAGCCAGTCTAGCTTCATTCTCCAGGCCAAGAGATACTGTTTCAAAGGAGATAGATGGTGCTCCTGCGACCACCCCAGGTTGTCATAGGCTTTCACACATGCATGCACAATTGTGTACATGCACCCACACACATAAACATACATGCAGAAAGAGGAGAGGGTGCTATGTTGTTTCCTAGGATGCCATCCACGTCAGTAGCTTCAGAGTCATAGAAAATGATGTGCTTCTACCTGTCTTTCCTACTGAGGGCTGACATCATGGTTAGCATTCTAGGACACAGTGCCTTCAGTTTCTCAATTAATCATATATCTTGCTTTGTCATTATTTTAATTGTAAATATTTTTTAAGATTTATTTTTATTTATGTGTATGTGTGTGTCTGCATAGATGTATGCAAACATTTGTGTGAGTTCCTACAGAGGCCAGAAGAAGGCATCAGATCCCCTGGAGTTGGAACTACAGGTGGCTGTGAATTGAATTCTGATGCTCTCTTAATTACTGAGACATCTCTCCAGTCCCAAGTATTATTATTTTTACTGGTTCTTTATTACACTTAGGCTTCTCCTAAAAACTTGTATATAAAAACTTATATATAGGCAAGTTATAGAAAAATTCAAGAGTTGAAGACTGAAGATTTGGAGACACCCAAGAACCTTCAGTAATATATCATCTTCTATAGTTCTATCATCAGGGGTTTTAGTGTTTGCTTTTACTAATTCAATAAGCTTCTGATAGTTGAAATATTTTTAAAATAAATATTTATTTTATTTTATTTTGGGGTTTTGTTGAGACAAGCTCTCCCTGTAGCCCCAGCTGGCCTGGAACTCTGTATATAGACAAGGCTGGCCTCAAACTCACAGAGATTCACCTGCCTCTGCCTCCCAAGTGCTGGGATTAAAGGTGTGTGCCACCAAGACCAGCTTATTTAAAATATTTCTACCTAATGCAGTTATCAAAGAGAAGGTAAATCTATACTTGGCTGTTTATGTGTTAATGATATGATCATAAAGTGTAACACATGCAAATGGCTCTTTTGTACATTTTGTTTCATTAATTTTAAAAAGTCCTTGCAGCGGAGTCATTCTTTTTAATGCCTATTTTCTCCCTAAGCTCTAGCCAAGGATACTGTAATATTAGTAAGCTGTTAATTAACATTTCTTCAATAAAGAACTTTATAGTTGGTCCTCCAAATATACAAGTTCATCCTCACATTCAACCAACCATAGATCAGAAATATTTAGAAAAAGTATCTTTTGTGCTGAACATTATTCCCTAAACAATATTTTATAACAACTGTTTATATGGCATTCATATAAACATTATTAGGCATTACAAGTAATCTGTAGATAATTTAATGTATATGGGAGGATGGGTATAGGTTTTATGCAAAAACTATGCCATTTTATATAAGACTTCTGAGCATCCATGGATTTTGGTATCTGCAGGGAGTCCTGGATTCCACCCCCTTCTATACCTATAAACGGATACATATATTTAGGCAGGTTTGTTGGGAAATTTGTGAGGAAGGGCCGGTTATTTACACATTTGGTTGCTTTAGTTAAACTAAGGCTATACTTAGATTTAGTTTAGTAGTTTGGTTATATACTGGTGTTTATTTCACAAAGGCAGGAAATGGGCTGGGAAGACAATCAGTTGGTAAAATGCTTGCTGCTTAAGCATGAAGACCTGAGTTCAATCTTCAGAGCCCATGTTCAAAAAAGTCAGGCATAATGGAGCACACTTGTAACCCCAGCACTGGGGAGGCAGAGACAGGCAAATCCCTGGGCTCTCTGGCCAGCTAGCCTAGCAAACTTGGTGAGTTCCAAGCCAGTGAGAGACCCTGCCTCAAAAAAACAGGTAGATCACACCTAGGGAATGACACCTGAGGATGTCCTCTGGTTGCCACACAATCCACACATATGTGTACCTGTACACACATGAAGACCCATACACACAATAGAAAAGGGAGGATGGACAAGAAAAGTTACTTCTTGGTAGCTTGTTCTAGATAGCAATACCACCCTCCTAGCATCTTGCCATGCCTGGAACACCAGGGATGAACCCGTCAGGAATGGCCACCAAGTGGAGGTTGGGTTGTCCTTGACTGCAGCCTCAGTCCTCTGAAGATAGGGTAGGAAGGTGACAAAGGCAGTGATCAAAACAGAATCAGATTCCTTCCTGAGGGTCCTGGTCCCTTTTCCCTGCTGGTCAGTTGTGAGAGCATCCTCTCTGGCTCACACTTACTTGGCCGCAGCATCTTTCCTCAGCTGTTCGTGCTTCATGAGGAGGTTCTTCCGGTCCCGGAAGGCTTTTCTGACCTTGTACCCTTTGTAGACGGCTTGGATTTTGAAGGCAGCAATGTCTTGTATAGCCGCAATGGACAGAGCACCATGCTCCAGCATGAACTGGATTACTTCATGGCGCTCACCAAGCAAAGCATAATCAAGAGGTGTGTACCTGAAATAAGAGAAAGAGTGGTTTTTAAAGGACTGTAATTCCAAGGCACACTTAAACTGACAGCATTGTAACCCAGCAGAAAGAAAGTCCATTCTACCACGGGCATTGTCCAAGCAAAACCTGTCCGGTCTACTTTCCTTTCTTCTCCGAGGAATACAAAACGAGAGATTGCAGGTTCAGCCTTTGTACTGCTGATCTGGTAAGTTCCTGTGCTCTGGGAGCTGTCTCATAAGCTGGGGACTATGGGAACACATGACCACTTTCCTTTTTCCCCATGTGTTGAATAATTCCCTGCTCCTGCATAAAAAAGTTCTCCAAATTATTTTCCTATAAAATTCATAAATTCAAAAACATGTTTACTGATAATGCTTTTGAAAAAAAAAAAAAGGAAATCTGTAGATGGGGGAGGTTTACTCTGTGGTACAGATGGAGTCGATGTTATGTCACCGCATGGAAGGTGGATTGCTGAATAACTAATATGGGTACAACCAGGTAATTTAGGGAAAAAAGACTTTTACATCATATCTTGTACCAAAATAAATTCTGGATGGAGCAAAGATCTACAGATAAGAAAAGAAACCTTGCAGGTACTGGAAGACACCAGACCATGAAGACCGGAGACACATTAAAGTGGGAAGTCCTTTCTAAAGAAGTGACACAAAACTCAGAAAAAAAAACCCAAAAAGAGAGAGAGAACATTTTATATATACTATGACTACATAAGAATAAAATAGGAAAACCTATCAAAAGGAATATTTAAAGAAATTATATATATATATATATTTTTAAAGAATTTATATGGAATTAAAAAGACTAAAGTGAAAGCTAATCCCTGATGATAGTAACAAGAGCCACTTCCGAACGACAGACTTGGTGTTTCTAGGTCCTTGCTACCCTATCTGCTAAATGAGTGAATGGGGAAATGGACTGATGAGTGGAAAGAGGCTTGCATTGCAAGCTACTGCTGCTATGAGCATAGGACCTACACTGGAGCAGGGTTTGTGATGCTGCAGCTGCTTGTCATGAACATCATTTCCATAGAACCCAAGCTTGTATTTGCCCAGTGATGACTGCACACTGAGGTTGAGTCAGTCCTCTGGGTGACTGAGGGAGTCAATGCACTCTTAAATCACCAGCTGACTTATAAGGTGTTAAAAAAAATGATATCATAGGGATTCAAGATTAGACTCAGAAAATCACATGATTGTTGAAAAAAATCTTTTTCTAATTGAGATTTTTAAATTTCATATAATATTTCCCACTCACATCCAGACCCCTCCCCTATCCATGCCTCCCCTGTCTCCCCACCTAACCCTATGTACTCTGTCATCCATGCTGGCTCCTATTCATTCAGGTGTTTGTACCCAAACGTCCTTCAGTGTAAATACATCCACTGGAGTCTAGTCAGCCCATCCAGTGGTCGTATGTGAGTCATACCCTCCCTCACCCAGCAGCAATCAGTCTTAAATGGTTTTCAATTTAGTGCTGGCTCACCACCTATTTCTCACCTCCCCTTTGGGCTCTTATTAAATTGAGTTGACATGGGTCCCACGTTCCACACCACCACTGCCACAGGCTCACATGAACAAGCTTCCAATGGCCTGGAAGCTTCTACCTCCCTGTGTTCATGAACCAGCCCTGGCTCTTACAATTGTTCTGCCTCCTCTTCCACAATGGTCCCTGAGCCATGGGTGGGTGAGGTTCCATGTAGGAGTCCCATCCTACACTCTACAGTCTCTTATTCTCAAAAACTTGGCCAGTTGTGGCCTTCTGTGTACATCACACTCCAATGTACATGAAAGCCTCACTGGTGAGAGTTGAGGGGTGTCTTGGCCTCTCTCTACCCCTTATTCCACTATGTTCCATGAGCCTTAGTTGTAGAGATTCAACTGCAGATGTGTCACCTAGTACTGGGCATCTCCCAGGTGTATATTCTCTGTACCTGACCAGATGTGCAACTCTGCAGTAGCCTTCATGTGTTGCACAAAGAAGCTTCTTTGATTAGCGCTGTTCGGCATGCTTGTCACTCTAAGGGAGGTCTCTTCTACCTGGCACCGTGTTCCCTGCCAAGAAGCTCCCAGGTATACATATACATTAATGTTCAGACACTCTATGTGCATTTCTTATAAGGTTTCTAGGGCATCACTTTTCCTTCTAGGAGGTTTCCTAGCCCCCCCCCCGAGATTCACTCATCTCCACTCTTTTTTCTTCCATCTGACTTCCCTCCTCCCTCCCAACTTACTTAACAGTCACAGTAAGACATAAAAGGAAAAGAGTTTCAGAACAAAGGTGGTTTGGTTGCTCCAGTAAAGAAACAGTCCAGAGCCCTAGCTGGCTAGATAACTGATCCACATAGGGTTTCCTTACTGAAGCCCTGACTGCTGAAATTAAGGAACAACCATTTCAGGGAGCCTCGATTTGCCAATGTACAGGAACCAAAGGGCCATAAATAAGTAGAGGTGTCTATAGAAATTTTCAGACAATACCTATAAATAGATGGCACTTTTTAAAATTCAGAAGAATTCCTAAGAATTTTATATAGGTCCTAAACTGTCTTTCCTGACTGTATACCCACTAATGGAAAAGATTTCAGAGAGTCCCTGAACATACAGCCAAGTGACTTTTAGAGGCTGCTAAGTGCAATACCTTCATTCTATAAATGAATAGATCCAGGAATGTTAAGTAACTTGCTGATAATTATGTAGCCAGTTTGTACAGAAGGTACACTATTACCAATGGAAAATGACTCCCCGTTTAATAAATCTTCCATAACATGTCTATCAACTATTGGCTATACGTCCCTTAGATTAGAACTGTTTGTGAAACCAATTTACAAACAACATGCATTTAGTAAGCTTAGTAATTTTTCTGTAAGCATGAATATGTAGAATTCTTTACATAATCATAAGAATGATTAAAATCTGGTTTAAGAAAAGTAGGGCCCAAACTACATACAGCATTCTGTACCCTAAAGAATGCTGGCTGAGCCAACTATGGTGGTGCACACCTCTAATCCTGCCCGTCTGGGAGGCTGAGGCAGGAGGACTATGAATTTGAGATTGACATGGGCTGCACAGTGTGAGCCTATCTCAAGAAACCAAACCAAACCAAACCAAACCAAAACAAAACAAACCAAAACAAAACAAAAAGGCTGGACTGGGAATTGGGGAACCTGTGGGACCCTGGGCATTTGATTAACTCCTTTGAGTTTGTCTCCTCATCTGTAACACAGGAAAAAAAGGAGGGGAAAAGAACCAGATCTTCAAGGCTATCTCTGGAATAAAACTGAGCATCTTAAAATATTTTTATTATGACAAAATTAGATTTTTACTATGAAAATTTTTGAGCATAAGATATTGAGAAAATAGCATAACAATTTTCTACATATTCAACATGCAAATTATTCAACCAGAAAGGTTTTTTGCTATATTTACTTCTCCAGCCTCTTCCTTTTAATTTTTAATTTTATTTATTTATTTAAAAATATATTTGGTCTCAGATTGCAAACTTTTAAAAATATTTTATTTATTATTTTTATTTTATGTGTATGAGTGTATTGCCTGCATGTATGTGGGTGCACCTGTGTCGTACATTGCCACGGAGGTCAGAAGAGGGCTTTGGATTTCCCTGGAATTGGAGTTAAGGTTGGTTCATAGCTCCCGTGTGGGTGCTGGGAATCAAACCCAGGTCCTCTGCAACAGCAGTCAGTGCTTTTAACCGCTAAGCCATCTCTCCAGCCCCCTGAACTCAGATTCTAATGCTTACAAAGCAATTATTATTATTATTAATTTTATGTGTATGTGTGTATTGCCTGCGTGTAGGTAAGTGCACCTGTGTTGTGCAATGCCCGCGGGACAGAAGAGGCTGTTGGATCCCCTGGGACTGGAGTTATGGACAGTTGTTAGCTGCCATGTGGGTTCTGGGATTCGTCTTCTGCAAGAACAACCAGTGTTCTTAACTGCTGAGCCATGTCTCTGGCCCCAGCCTCTTCCTTTTAATTTTGCTAAAGTATTTCAAAGCAAATTGTGAAGCTCTTGTCATTCCATATCTATGTGTCTCTATTCATCTTTGCATAATACAAGCAGAGACACATCATTATGATGCTAGCAATATTAGCAGGAATTTCTTAGTAATATATAATGCCATGATTCCCCAATTTGTCACAAACATGGTGCTTTTTTTTTGTTTGTTTGTTGTTTTGTTTTTTGCAGTTTTTTAATTCAAATTAGGATTCTCGGTCAATCTTTGATTCAGAGACACAATCCAAATATCTAGCCAGGTTTTAAGACTGGAGTTTATACCTAATGCCTAAGCAGCTGACTGTGGTGTTATATCACCACTCAATCTTTCTTTATCCAAAACTCAATTTAGAATGATTCTAGCACTGTGAACATTCCCATTGACATGAGAGTGTGGCTGTCAGATAGCTATTGACTGAAAGCCAGCAGAAGTTGGCGAAAATGATGTCTACACAGGGTACATCAACTGCTTAGTGTCGATGCATGAGAAGTAGAAATTAGCACCACCTTGATGGTAACCAGCCAAGAAACAACGTAGATACAGATAAGCAATAGCATACAATTGGACTTGCCATGTGGGAATGGGCTGACAGGATCAGTAGAATGCCCAAACCAGAATGTCAATAAACATAAGAGGTGGTGCCAGCCTCTGACATGTGACATCAATTTGCACTTCTGATGGAACATGAAGAGAGACCAGGATATGGATACTCTCTCTAATGCATTTTTTCATTGTTTCTTTAAAAAGAGAGCAATAGGATGTAAATAGTTAGAATAAGTTCTTTTAAAATTTTTTATTTTTCCCAAACTTCATAAATATTAGTGTATTTGTGATTGGTTTTAGAAAATCATTAACTTTTAAATTATATTTCATTTATTGTTAGTGTGTGTGCAGGCTTGTGCATGGAGGTCAGAGGACGACTCTTTTTTTTTTTTTTTTTTTTTTGGTATTTTTGAGACAGGGTCTCCCTGTAGCCCCAGCTGGTCTGGAACTTGCTATTGTAGACCAGGCTGGCCTCGAACTCACAGAGATTAGCCTGCCTCTGCCTCCTGAGTCCTGGGATTAAAGGCCTGTACCACCACGCCCTGCCAGAGGCTGACTTTTAGAAGCTAGTTCTTTCCTCCCACTGAGGATTCCAGGGATTGAAATTAGGTCATTAGGCTTGCACAGTAAGTGCTTTTATCTGCTGAGCCATATTTTTGGCCCAGAATAAGTGCTTTATAGAAACAAACAACTAATTTGGGGGATTTTTATATCTTTCTTCTTTTTCAATTAGAGCTTACAGTTTTCCTACTAACAAAGAAAGGTTGTGGAAGAAGTAGGCAGGGGTTGGTTCTAAAAGGAGAATTCTGTCTCTTCTGAGATGAGAGACCCAGAGAAACTCCTCCTTCTCAAAGGTTCCCACATGCCTACAGAAAGAACTTGTGGCAGTTAAATGGATGGGGCAGGGCCATTTTAGTTAGAGCACCTACAAACAGTGAAAATTAACACACAGACATGGACTAGAGGGTTCAGATAGAGAAAACTGATCATAAACTTAGTTGCGATCTAAAATTTACTAGAACTTTCCCAGACCCAAGGCTCACAAGAATCTCTTCTGCTTAGAATTTACTGTACCATCTGGTTCTTCTTCTAGCTATGTGTGGATGGAACTCGAGTGTTTTGTACACCAGGCAAGCCCTCTAACACTGAGCTACACTCCTACAATGTGTGATCTGTTTTGTTTGGCCTAGGTCCTTGAGTAACAACCTCAACATAACTCTGAACCTGATTATCTGAGACTGTAGTTACGGCTTAAGTGTTCAGCTTAGCTTTTCCGTTTTCATACACAGCAGGTTTTTGCCCATAACTCCTCATAACTCATCATTAAGAGAAGTCTCTTGAACATGTAAGTCATTCTGCTGGCCTAGATGAATTAGTAGGCCTGGTCAGTCGGGATTTCACTGAGTTTCACTAGCCGAGCCATAAGAAAGCCAGCCCTTTTGCTCATCTTCAAATGTGAACCTGCCTTGAGTAGTACCTAAAGTTCTGAGCAGCTATAAAGTCTCACAATTCTACAGCAACCCTACATTGAACTTTGGCTCCTTCCTCTGGTTCAGGATTTCCTTATGAGCAAAGTTACTGCTTCTAAATCAATACCTAACTTTGAGATTTTTTTTCATTTGGTAGAAAGGATGTAAGATAAATGACAATATACCCCCTGCCCCTTAATCAACAGTTTACCTCTCTTCATTGTTTTCCATCTGGTTAGGGAAAGCAGCAAAGTCCAGCAGTAATTTAATGGCATCAAGGTATCCATTGTTACAAGACCAGTGCAAGGCTGTTCTTCCCTGCAAATAGGAACAGAAATCAAGAGCACCTGGAGTGAGCAGTTTGCACTATGTGATTATTTACGCTAACTCAAAATATAAACAATTCTTCCCCACATTGTTCAGTTATAAAGAAGGGAGACTATCAGGGCTGGAGAGATGGCTCAGGGGTTAAGAGCACTAGCTTCTCTTGCACAGGACCTGGGTTCTAATTCCAGCACCCGTATAGCAGCTAACAACCATCCATAACTAGTTCCAGGGGATCCGAAGCCCCTTTTATCCTCTGCAGGCACTAATGACGCAGGTGTATTTACATACATGCAGGTATAACATTCATACATATAAAATAAAATTTAAAATTTTTTAAAAAAGAAGGTAGACTGTTAAGTATATAATAGAGAAAATAGGTGGTGCCTTAACCAAGTGATCATAATTAACACAAGGTGAAATGGCATCATGTGCTGCCTGAGGGGACACCTGAAGAGGATTCCATATTTTTCACATACTATTTTAACCATGAATGTAAAACCTGAATTAATTATGAGGAGACAAGAGGCAAATCCAAAGTCAAAATCAATAAAATAAATGGTCTGTGTTTAAAATTTTCAGTGCCACAGAAGCCTAAGGAATTAGAAAATTTTGCCACCAAACCTAATGACCTCAGTTTGTTCCCCAGGACCCACATGGTAGAAGGACATCAGATTCTGGCAAATTGTCTTTTGACCTCCACATAATGGCATGTGTGCATGTTCGTGGACAAATAAAAAATAATAAATAATAAAAAGATGAAGAAGGCATGAAGCATTGTTAGAGAAAAAGAAGACATTTCATAATGTTGAAGGAGTCAAGGGAGACACCATAGCCCTAAAGTTACACACATCTAATTCTGCTTCTAAATACATGGGACAAGATGGACTGAATTAAAGGGAGTTAGAAGCATAATTGTAGCAGTAGATTTTTAAAAATTATTTTTAAAAATTAATTTTTCCCATTTTTTCATAGTGATAGATTTTAACCTGCTTTACTTTATAATGGTTGAGAGTAAAAACATGTAAGAGAGCATTGATAATATAGAAGACCTAACACAATAACACGGCTTGAAGATTTGTATATATACTTAAACATTGTATTAAATGATGGCAGAATTAGAATTCTTCTCAAATATATAGTGTATTTACTAAAATCAGTCACACTGGGCCATAAAGAAAGTCTCAAAAAATAATGACCCTTTCCCTGCAAAGATGTCTGTACCCTAACCCCTTGGAACCCACGATGTGCAATACTACATGGAAAGGCTGCTGGTCAGCTGTCCTGAGTCAAGGCTATCATTCCAGATTATCTGTGTGGGAAAGAGGGCAGGGGAGTGAGTGTTGCAGTGACAGCTGGCCTTGCAGGCTCTGATGATGGAGGAATGTGGTCATGACTTAAGCAGCCTCCGAATGCTGGAAAGGTTAAGGAGACTGATTATCTCCCTTGGGGGTGCGGGGACAGCCTTGTGATACTCTGACTTGTTAGCTTAGCGAGACTTATTTTGTTTTCTGATGTGAAACAGTGGGATAATTAATTTATATTGGATGTTTGTGCTAATTTGTCACAGTAGTAATAGGTAACTAATACAATCAATTAAAAACTAAAAACAGCCAGACATGGCTGCTCACACCTTTAATCCCCGCACTCAGGAGGCAGGTGGGTCTCTATGAGTTCAAGGCGAACCTGGTCTACATAGAGAGTTTCAGGTCACCTGGGGCTACACAGTTAAGACCTTGTCTCGAAAAATAAAAAAGGAAATGCTCAATTGCCTAAGAATTAAACAATAGATTCCTGAATAATCTGAAGTCCAGCGAATCAATCAAAGAGAAAGAAGAAAACATTTGAACCGAGTGACAGTGAAGGTGCAGCTTAACCAAATTTACAGTGTAGCTGATACAGAGCTTAGAAGAAGCATGCTTAGACACAAATATTAGAAATGAATATTGAAAAATCAACAAGCTGAAATTTCATCCACAGAATCTAAGATTCTAGCACTCAGGAGACTGAGCTAGGAAGAACTCAAGTTGGAGCCCAGCCTGGGTAAATAGCAAGTTCAAGGCCAATTTGAGCTACATGATGAGATTCTGTCTCAAAAACAAAAGGAAAAATAAAAAAAACCTAAACAAAACAAGAAAAAAGTTGGAGCACCTATAATACCAGAACCTGGGACTTGGGAAGTGGAAGCAGAATGATCAGGAGTTCAGCATCATCCTTGGCTACAGAGTGGGTTCAGGGCCAGCCTGGGCTACCTAAGACCTTGTCTCAATGTACCCCCCACCAACTGAAAAAAGAGCCAGCCACACCTGAGGAAAGTGGATAGCAGGAAATTAAGAAGAAAGCAAACACCATTCAAACAGCAGATGTACTCAAAATGCAGAAAGTCAACAAGGACAAGTGTCCTTGGAAGGATTGAAAAAGCTGAGCAGAAAGTTAAAAAGAGAGAGAGAGAAAATACAGATTGTCAATATATAGAATGAATGAAGAAAAAACTAAGTCCTAAAACATGAAATAAGCAAGTGGCTATATTACCAACTTTATATAACTACAACTGACATTTTGAATAAAAGGGACAAGTTCCCAGTAAAGTACCTTTACCAAAGCTAAAAGAAAATAATTAGAACAGTCTAATGAGACAGGATCAATTAATAACAATTTTTGCATTAAGAAAATTCCCAAGACCAGAGGTCTTCAACAACAAATTTTCTCATATACCTCAATCTTACATGAATTTGTTATAAAAATATTTTTGGATTTGTTTTATTTTATGTTTATGAGTGTTTTGCCTGCATGCATGTAAGTGCACCTGTTGTGTGTGTCATGCAATGTCCATGGACGCCAGAAAGAGGGCATCAGATTCCCTGGAACTGGAGTTACAGATGGTTTTTAGTCACCATGTGGGTGCTGGGAACTGAACCGAGGCCTTCTGTAAGAGCAGCCAGTGATCTTAACTGCTGAGCCATCTCTCCAGCTCATAATTATGATTTTTAAGGTTTTATCAACTAGATATATAATCTCACTCAACAGTGAAATACTGAAAGCCTGATCTTCAAAATGCCCAAATGAGTTAAGGATATCAAGTATCACCAATTCTATTCAACATTATCTGAGGAATCTCAGCTAGATCAATAAAATAAGACAAAGAAATGAAAGCCATAAGGATTGTTAATGAAGAAATAAGGCTGATAGCATCCACAGATAGCGAGATTGTTTATAAGGATAATTTCCAAATGCTACACATAGAAATTAATAGAACTGGAAAGGAGCTCAATTACCAACTATGTAAGAAGCTGACAACTTGGTAAAACATGAAAGATATGCTAAATTATAAAAGATACATTAGTAAATTTGTATATGTGTGTGTGCACATGCGTGTGTGCATGCACGCATGCATTCATGCATGCCAGAGCATGCATGTGCTCAGAGGATAACTTGCAGGAGTCAGTTCTCTCCTTCCATCATATGGATCCTGGGGATCAAATTCAGATCATCAGGCTTGGTGGCAAGCGCCTTAACCTACTGAGACATCCCATTGGCCCTTCCTATGTCACTTTTACATATAACAATAATCTTGATTTAAAAAAAAACCTCTCTGAATGAGTTAATAGAGAATCTATTTTCTGGTTTGAAAAACATAAGTTCTGCTAGTATTTTTAAGAGTTAAGCCACATTTGCAAAAGTGAATGCCCACTAAACTGAGAGAGACTGATATCTTACTATATAGTGGAGGAAGTACAGATTAACCAATATCTTAGAAATCAGTTTAGTGGCACACACACAGATATATCACAGATGATCACATTTATATACATTTGTTACTCTGATTCAGTAATATCACTTATAGGAACTATTATAAGAGAATAATCCAAAAGAAGAAAGTTAAATGTACAGAGATGATTCCTGCAAGGTTGTAATAGTGCAAAGTATGCAGCAATGGGAGTCTATTACTGAACTCTGTTGAGTTGGGGTTAAAGGCATAGTTTGAATCCTGGCTCTCCCACTCTCAGATAGTGTCATTGTAAGGTAATTATTTAAATGACATGAGTTCCAATATCCTTAGCTGTGAAGTGGAGTAAGAATAGTAACTACTCCCTAAATTGTGAGGATCAAATGAGCTATTATAAAAAAAAGCTCTTGGAATTTTTGATTATTAAGCAATTATGAAAAAGATTAAATAGAAAATGAGAAAACATTGGTGCTAACTTTAAAATTTTAAATTTATTTATTTAAAATTTTTTAAATTGAATTTTATGTATTTCATATATAAAATTATCTTTATACCCTCTTCCCCAACGGCGCCCTCCCATACCCCCCCCCCGAGTTCATACATTTTGTCAGTTGTGTTAAGGCCTATCATGTAAAGTGTCCCCAGAAGTTCCTTGGTGCAAATTCATCCACTGGGATTTAGTCAGCCTATCTAGAGTTCCTCCTTTTAAGAAGATCAACTCTTCCTCATCCAGCAGTAATCAGCTGCCAATAATTATTTGACTAAGATTGAGACCTGCTGTTCATTTCTGCAGTTCTGTGCTGGGTTTTTGTCTGCTTAAGTTTGGATTGGTCTTGTGCATGCTGACACCACTGCTGTAGGTTTGTATGAGAAGGGTCCCAGGAGAATTTATTTTTATTTTATGTTTATGAGTGCTCTGTCTGCAAGTGCACCACCTGTATGTAGTGCCTGCATAGGCCAGAAGAGGGCATCAGGTCCCCTGGACTTGGAGTTACAGGCAGTTGTTAGCCGCTATAAGGATGCTGGGAACCCAATGGGGTCTTCTGCAAGAGCAGTAAGCACTCTTAACTGCTGAGCCATCTCTCCAGTCTCTAGTGCTAATCTTAAGTAAACAAAAGGTGGTTTGTAAAATCATATATGTGTACATATACATACGTGTATTTTATAAAAGTGTAAAAAATTATTATATTAGAGTATATACACACTTGTTAAGTTATATATAGATACAGATGCATACTAGAAGGGAACATGAACAAAATCTTCTCTCTCCAAGTGATGAACTGTTTTACTTAAGTTCACAGCAAGGCAGAACTATTTTCCACCTTGGAGTTAACGGCACAGGAAAGCCCCAGGTGTCTACCTCTTTGTCTTGGATGTTGGGGTCTGCATTGTTTTCCATGAGCACTGCCATGCAGTTGATGTACCCTCCATATGCGGCACACTGCAAGGGTGTTCTCCCTGCATAATCCTGCACGTTTGGGTTGATCTTGTTTTCTATCAGTATCTGGCAGACATTGGCATTCCCTCCCAGTGCTGCCCAGTGTAGAAGTGAGTGTCCATCTTGGTCAACGAGATCGACCCTTGCCCCACCTGGGAAAGCAAAACTGCAGTGAGAAATGGAAGAGAGACAGCATTTATCAGAAGGAACAGAAGTTAAACTAAAATGATGGTCCTTTAATTAAGGCTTTATTCTCAGTGAAACCCTTCCATACATTACACACTGTCGACCTCAGAGTTTTGCAGCATTCCTAAAAGTTGGTGAGGGTAGGACTCACTCTCTTTCTACAGTAAATAAAATGCAGAGTCAGGCAGGTGAAGAGACTGTGACAGCAAACATCCACCAACAGGCAGAGCTTCTTTGAACTGCAGTTTTCTGGGGCCCACCTGGCTCTGCTGCCTGGATGAAACTGTTTCACACTGACCACACTGCAGTTCCTAGCTGTTGTGAGAGACTCAGTAGGAGTACTCAAACCAACTAACCTTTAATGAGGGTCTGAATCACATCTTTGTGCCCCATTTCACAGGCTCGGAAGAGTGGGGTATGTTTCATGACGTCAGTAGCATCTACTTGAGCATTGTTTTCCAATAATAACTTCACAGTGCTGACATGGCCAGAAAGGGCAGCGGCATGCAAAGCTAAAAAAGAAGACAAAGCAAGAGATAAGCTCTAAAACAACTTTACCTTTGTATTAAAGTCTGTATCTCTGTCTCTTATGGCGTTCCCCTCGTTTTGACTAAATACAGGTGTGTGTGTGTGTGTGTGTGTGTGTGTGTATGTGTTATTTGATACAGGGTATCATGAATTCCAGATTGGCCTTGAGTTCATTATATAGCTGAGGATGACCATCAACTTCTGGTGCTCCTGCCTCTACTTCTGGAGTATTGGGATTACAGGTGTGCATTACCACACCCAGTTTCTGCAGTGCTGGGGATGGAACCTGGGGTCTGTGCGTGCTAGGTGAGCCTTCTACCAGCTGAGCTACATCCCCAGTCCTTTTTGTTGTTGCTCTTGTCCCTGGGAAGTCAAATCTTAGTGATTCTCTAATTTATGAGCTTTTCCTAAAGAAATATTTTGGAAAGGTAAAACCTTTGTCATAAAATTGAAATTGCCTAAAAACCTCAACCCCACCCTCCTCCCAAAAAGCCTTTATAGGGTGTGGTGGTTTCCATGTAGGTAGGGAGATTATTAAGCATAGCAACTCCGCTTTCCTCCCCTTTCCACCCAGTGCTACATCAGTAGTTTTGGTGGCTAATAAAGACCTTTTCTAGGATAACGGGGAGATGCAAATGGCTCCAGTATGCTTCCACAGAAAACAAACAAAAGAACAAAACCAAACCCCATCTTACCACGGTGGAGCCCTCCACTAAGCTTTGACTCTGCTCAGTGTTACTGCGTTGGTGTATGATTTTACTTTTCCTTCTGACTTGCATTTGGGATATCAGACAAAGAAGAGACCTCCACATTGACACTGAATGCTAAAAACCACATCTCCTAGTAACCAACACGTAGTTAAAGGGCTCTCTCACTGGAGAAAGAGGTTAAAGCAAGCATCTAGTAAGAAGTTGAGGTGCCAGGCCTACTAGAAGCTGTGAATGCTGCAGGGTTGGGAGGCGTCTCTACTGTGGGAGATGCAGCATGCAGTCATGCCACTCAAACTCAAGAAAAGAGCATAAAAATGAGACGTGAGAACACATTTAGATGTGTGCATCCTTTAAAATGTGTTTTGGAAATGTTAACTAAATACACACAGTTTTTTGCATATGCATGTTTTGTGTGGTGTGCATCTGTGTGTATATGCAGGTTTGCATGTGTGCGAGTACACAGATGTGTGCATGTGCATGTGGAGGCCTGAAGTCCACATCGGGTGCCTTTGTCAATTACACTCCACCTTATATATGGAGGCAGGGTTTTGGGCCCCTCACTGGAGTGAGCTGTTTCGCCTAGTCTGGATTTCTTGTCTCTGCCTCTCAAACGCTGGGATCACAGGCAGGCTGCCAGGCCCACCCAGGGATTGGGATCCAAGCTCTGGTCCCCATATTTGCATGGCAAGCACTTCACACACTGAGCCATCTCTCCAGTCCTATGTGTAGATAAAGTGCATATAGGCTTGTGTTCTTTTTTACACAGAAGTAAATGATGATAAGCTTCTATAATCATTTCTAAGGAGCAACTAGAGTTATAAACCAGATGTCACCATTTACTTCATAGAAATATACTAACTTTAGCCATAATTCTTGGAAGAAATAAAGGCTTGGGAGTGAGATCCTGGCAAACTTACACTTAAAAAGTGAAGAGCTAATGCAAACAATATTAGGTCAAGGACAATAATCTCAGGTCACTATTTTACAATTTTATAATACCCTTTGGAACCTGCATGCCAACAAGTGGAACCTGGGTGCCAGCTCCTACCAGTGCCGCCATACTTGTCTGCCATGTTAATATCAATATCAGATTTTAAAGTCAGCATAGTCCTGAGGACGTCATCACTGCCTTTCCCTGCTGCCCACATGAAGGATGTTCTTCCTTCCAGGTCTGAATCATCTCTCACTGAAGGATGTTTTAGAAACACTTTAACTGTTTCCTGTAAAGACAGAACTTTATTTAGAATACGGAGGCAGCAAGGTAATATTCTTTACGGTAACAAAACAACTATTATGCAGAATTCCACTGAGAAGAGGTATTTCCCCCTGCTTATAAGTCAAATGAAATTAAGAATAACAAAACCAGGGCTGGAGAGATGGCTCAGTGGTTAAGAGCACTAGCTGCTCTTGCAGAAGACCCTGGTTCAGTTCCCAGCACCAACAGGGTAGCTAACAACTATCCATAACTCAAGTTCCAGAGGATCTGACACCCTCTTCTGACCTCCACAGGCATTGCATGACAGGGGTACACTTATGTACATGCAGGCAATACACTCATACACACGAAAAAAATATTTGACAGAAAGAATAAATTCAAAGGCTTATCTAATTTAGTTCCTCATTTCAGACATGAACAGATTGAGTTTCAAGGTCATATCAATACAAATGTATTGACAGGAGTCAGGGAAAAATCAGAATACTTTGTCCATAACATGATACATTGTTTCCTAATTTTAAGAAAATATAAGGAGTTCTTGAAGAAGAAAGCTCTAACATGTGTGTTCATTAAGAATATTTAAAGACCCAGCACTCAAGAGGCAGATGCAGGCAGATCACTGTGAGATCCAGGCTAGCCTGGTCTACATAGCAAGTTCCAGGATACCTGGGGCTACAGGGAAACCCTGTCTCAAAAAACACACATGCACACAGAATATTTAAAATCTTTAAAAAAATTTATTCATTTTTATTTTATGTGTATGTGTATATTGCCTGCATGTAGGTAAATGCACCCATGTCATGCAATGCCCACAGAGGTCAGAAGAGGCTGTCAAAATCCCCTGGGACTGGAGTTACAGACAGTTGTTAGCTGCCATGTGGGTGCTGGGATTCGAACCTGGGTCTTCTGCAAGAACAACCAGTGTCCTTAACCACTGAGCCATCTCTCCAGCCCACACACAGAATATTTAAAGAAACAAAATTTAAAAGTTAGTGACTCCTTGTTTTGCTTCATTTTACTGATTTACAGACGTTTCTTTGTAAATTTTATATTCTATTCTTAATGAAGAGTGTGGGGATACTGTTTGCTTATTTTTCAGTGTTTTTCAAAAAGAAAATTGTAACTTTTTCTGAGTTAATAGTACGGACTGGCAGATTAATGTAGACATCCGTAATGTTCTGCCATTCTTTCTCACTCTCACAAGTATTTAATTATTGATATCTGTATGCTTATTAAATCTGGTTCAAAATCATGAGCAAGCTGTTTAGTTTCTTAGAACATGTATTTTTTTTTTTGTCTTTTTGAGACAGGGTCTCCCTGTAGCCCCAGCTGGCCTAGAACTTACTATGTATACCAGGCTGGCCTTGAACTCACAGAGATCCATCTACCTCTGCCTCCTAAGTGTTGGAATTAAAAGCATGCACCACCATACCCAGCTAAAGCATGGATTTTAAAGAAAATCTGTAAGTGGGATATCACAGCTGACCTCATAGGCTTGTGTTGAATTACATACTGGACTTTGATTTCCATAGATCTACCAGCTTGGACCAAATGACTTTCTTATCTGTGATAAGAAAGAGCATCTTATCAAAATACTACTTTGTAATTTTCTGAGATGTTGGGAGACTATAAAAGATAATGGTTTACAAAGACTCTAGGAGGTACATTGAACAAAGCTTTAGGATACTAGGAAGAAAAGACTAATATACGAGCAGTCTGTGCACAGCTTAAGAGACACACAAAGTACTTGTCACATAGAAAGGACATTAATCAATTTTGGATCTGTTTAAAACAAAAGGGTGAGAAAATTATTAGCATGTAAGCTAGCATTCAAACTGGTTTCCAAATATAGAGTAAGAAAGAAATGAAAATGAGACATTTCAGCACTGTGAGTATTCAACAGAACATTCAGGGAGGTCAAGAAGTGAGAATGAATTAGGCTGTGCTGCTGACAGCACTGTTGTGAGCTGGACTGTGCACATTCATGTAGAAGGTGGGACAAGCAACTGTGGCTCCTTTCATGTGCGCCTCTACCCTGCACGAGTACTTCTTGGTGGTCACTCAGACTCAGGAAATGGAAGCAGGCTACACACTATCAAGTTGCGGGATGAACTGGGACATAATGGGTTAGAATGTGCTTGGTAATCATAAAAGATTATCAGGCATCAGGAAAGAACTATTGGCAATGTTCATTATTTCTGGAAATAATAATTCATACTTTTGGTTTGACAGATATGTAAAATGCATAGTTATTAGTAGTAATCACAAGAATATGTTTTATGCTTTGAATACCTGTTCTATGCCAAGTGCAGTAGACACTTGTCATAAATCTGCTCTCATTTTTACAGCAATCCTGAAAGGTGAGGTCGAATTATCCTCATTTTACCCAGGAAGAAACAAAGACCGAGTGAGGTTAAGGAGCTTGTGTGAGATCACACAGCTCGGAAACTGCATGACTGGGATTCCAGAGTGGGTTTCCCAGCTCGAAAGCCTTGCCACCTTGCTCTCAGGACAATCACAGAGTGCTGAACACTAAGATATCCTCAGTGCTATGAAATTCACAAAATGCTGCTGTACACTTACCACAAAGCAAAACACTGTGCTGAGTGTTTACATAAAAGCTGCATAAAACTTTGCATGTGACTGTGTTATAAAAATTCAGACTATCACAGAACTTTGCATGTGTTACAAAAATTCAGACTATCATCTGCATCACAGAGTTAATGGTATAAACGATGGTTAAAAGCCAACTGCTAAATTAATAGAGAGCGAGGAGTATCCACAAAACTGAAGAAATTTGAATCAGGCCAGTGGCAACTTCTTTTATGAGATTTTACTGGAGTTATCATTAGGACAGATTGGGCGAAGGGTACATGGGATCATGCTATATTATTTTTTGCAATTGCATATATGAATCTATAATTATATAAAAGTAAATGTTTTATTAAGAAAAAAGAGAGTTGTTTCTACTTACTGCAAAGTTACTCTGAGCTGCATAGTGCAAGGGGGTTGCCCCTTGGCTGTCAGAGGGGATAGTTCCAGACTTGTTTCTTTCTAAAAGGAGATGGACAATCTTTGCATGGCCTGAAAATAGAATGAGGTAGTTAACGTTCACAAAGGGGCATTAGTCAATTCTAAATCTATTTAAAAGAAAGGTATAAGAAAAATCTCCAGTATATGATGCCATTCAAATGGTTTCTGCAGAGCAGCCCCCACCCCAGTGCAGTCCTTCTCCCTTCTCCCCAGTGTACCACAATAGGGCAGAACAGAGCTGAAGCCTAAAGCACTAAAACGTGGGTGCCTCAGTTGGGAAGAAGATGACAGTAGTGCAAAGTGCCAAGCTGGGAGAAAGTCCTATCGGGTGTCCTCTCTTGGGCCCCCTGGGTTCACTGTCCCTCGACTCAAGGTTCCACTTTTTGATCTACCAGAACTGAACACTGGTTCCCTTCTACTGCTCAGGTGGACATATTGAAATGCAATCTTTTCTACCTGTGAGGCTTCCACTGATCTTCCCCGCCACCCCCCGAGTCTTTTAACATCAAAGAAGTATTTTTCTGAACAAGAGAGCAGGCTATAATAAAGTGTGGTGGGACAATACTCTACTGTACAGCCTGAAAGAATTAGTTTCTACAAGGCAGAAACTGTACAAAAGTTCAAAGAGTTCACAAGCTGGGTATGGTGGTGCATGCCTGCAACCTTAGTACTCAAAAGGTTGAGGCAGGAGGACTGAATATTTGAGGCTAGCCTGGGCTACAAGGAAGTGGTCAGATAGCCTCAGCTACATAGCAAGGCTCTGTTTCAAAAAGCAAAACAGAACAACAAGGAGAGCTAGTGAACCCAGGAATCTACATGAAATCGTCTTATCTCTCTGTTCCAGAGCATGTGGGGAACTAGGCAATGAAGATGACACCGTGGCACAGCGTGCAGAGCAGGACTGTGCTGAGTGGAAGCCAGGCAAAGGGATCTGCCTAGCGGTTGCGTTCATCTACCCATTCTTTATATACGGCTTAAGATGGAGTCTTCAAAACACAAATGTAGGACCAAAGGCAATCTTTGCCATACCATCAATCTAAATGCATCTCACCGTGTTTGAGGAGCAAAGGGAACAATTTGGTGGAGACTACAGAACATTCTACAGGGCAGGGTCAGAGAACCAGCATCAGAAAGATAGGCTCATACCTGGAAATGATCCCAAGAAGGACCCAGAGGGCAGCGTCAGGAAACTGGCATCTTTGGTTTAGTGAGAAAAGGGATGGCACCTATGAAACAGAAAGTGCACCCCAAGAAGAAAGCAGACTGATGGGAAAAGGCAATGGAAGGAGATGAAATGAGGTCAGCGTCTGGGAGAGAGAAGGAAACAAAAGCTCAGCAGATGTTCTAACCTGGGGCGGGGCACTGGAAGAAAGCATCAGTTACGAAGAGCGAATCCAGTGAAGGAGAGAAACTCCCAAAGTAACCCACATTCAGGAGGAAGAAGAAAAGGGCGAAACGACACTTGAAGTCTAAATAGTCATTATAAATCTGACCATGAGAGCTGCATGCAAGTACGACGGTCGTTCCCCAAACAGGACAGTGTGCCATTCAAAATCTAGCACCAAGGTAATAATAGCTAGGGGAAACCCCCAGACTATGTTAACAAATACCTAAAGCAGTGAGTACAGACGGCTGAATTCTGTCTTAAATGTGTGGAAAGAAAAAGCGGAAGCTTACTCTTGACTCTGACTAGGCTTAAAAATGATTTTGATAAATTAAAAAAATAACCACTAACGGAATCTAAAATTCCTCCTGAAATCCCAGGCGGAAGCTAAAAGCCAAATAATAGCAACCGATCTATTTGGTTGCAAACAGGAAAAAAAATTTAAGAAAAAAAACCCCTGTGAAAACACGAATAATAGTGCAATAGAAAAAGAGGCCATATTATTTATATTTTAACAATGGCGGTTAGTGGATAAACTATTTGGCAAAAAGAAAAAAAATCTCACATTGTACCCCTTCAAAAAATTTGACACACATCCACACTCACCAGACATATATCTACTCTCTCATGGGGAAAAGTGATCTCCAGGATATCAAAAGGCAAATATGAAGAAAAAAAAATCCCAAATATCAAAGTCAGAGCACAACCATCAAATGAATACCCTCCTTTACTACCTACCCCAAGTGAAGAGGGCTATACTGCATGTACCATCTTGACGAATCCTAATTCCTTTATAATAAAAGCAAGTTAAGACATAATGTTGAAATGAAAACTAATATTTAACAGAGAATAAGTCTGTATTGCTAAATTTTAAGCATGCAAAAAAAGTCAATTTATGAAATAATATAGCATTATCAATTAGAGATTAAAATACTGAAATAGTCTGGGAACCAACAGGGAGGGGAAGGTGGAGGCCTGTCCCTCTGCTGACTCTGTGACTTACAGCCAGCGTACCTAGTAAGGCAGCCCAGTGAAGCGGGGTTCGAAACAAGTTATCATAAGACGTTACGTTGCAACTCTCGTACGAGGTCAAGACATCAACCACTGTTAGGTTTCCATCGGCGACTGCGAAATGGAGAGGTGTTCGGCCCTCGTAGTCTTGCCAGTTCAGTAAAGACTCTGTGGGAGCTGCCTCCTATTCCAAGAATCAGAGGCTCAGACACATGGAATCCTCAATGAGTTATATTTGCCATATACATTAACTGAGTGTTTGCTAAAACAAATCCTCCACATTCTCCATACACACAAGTAAAATGATAGATACACTGAGAAACAAGTGCATGGTCTAAATTTTAAAAAACTTCTTTCCTATTTAACTATAAAAATACAGAAAAGAATAGAGTAACCACCATACACTACCTATATTAAAAATGTGCCCAGTGTGCTTTTGTGTCTGTTATAGATTCAGCTAAAGCTGCATCTAGTGCCTCTGTACACACACAGCAATCTGTGAACAATAACACATTCTGCGTGTGTGTTTCCAATATTTACATTGTGGAAGTACACACACATCTCCTTTCAACTTTTTTTTCCTGCACTATTGTGGGTATCTCTGTTAACTCTACTTCCTTGTTGAACTGGGTGAATAAACCATTTTCCTCCTCAGGGAGACTTAGGTTATTTCCTTTTTATTCACAACCACAAAGCTACAAAGAACATGTTTCCCTCACATGTCCTTTGTTGCACAGTGTGTGAAATTTTTCTCTTGGTTAGATACCAAAAGAGGGATTGCTGGATGAAGGCACCCACATCTTCAACTGCGTACTGTGAAGCTGCTCTCGCCAGGGTTGTACCAATTAGCACACCCATGACAACCTGAAAAGCTTCATTCCCCACATGCTGACACAAATTAATCGCTTGGAATTATCAAGCTTCCTATATTTTCTTTCTCTTTTGAGCCTCAAAGACACTTCACTGATGTTTTCATTTGAGGTTCTCGTGAATGAGACTAAGAGTTTTAGTCGTATATTTGTTGGTGATTCAGTTCTATTTCTTTGTAAGACAATAGTTTACAACATTTATTCATTTTTCTGTTGGATATTTTTAAAACTATTTATTCATTTATTTTTATTTTACATGTGTGGGTGTATTGCATGCACATATGTAAGCGTACCCATGTTGTACAATGCCCACAGAGGCCAGAAGAGGGTGTCAGATCCCCTGGAACTAGAGTTATGATGATTGTTAGCTACCATGTGAGGCTGGAACCGAATCCTGGCCTTCTGCAAGAGCAGCCAGTGCTCTTACCCCAGAGCCATCTCTCTAGCCTCTTTCTCCTGGATCTTTGTATCATCTCCCTTTGAGATTAAATGCCTTCTTTCCTCAGCCTCTAGGAGTGCCACCAGCCCATGGCCTTCAATCCCCAGCTTTCTGGAACAGCGTCAGTTAAGAAGTTACCTCACCCAAGCCATTGTTCCTTCTCAGGTTAGGCCATATCCAGATCCAAGACCTGTTGCTTCCATTTTCCTCCCTGAAGGACCATCTCAGGTTTCTAGCTTTCTGTAAAGCCAGACTATTTTACCAGCAAAGGGCCCAGCTGTGTCCACTGGGCTCCATATGTCCAAGGATAGCTACAAATACAGCTGGTCGAACACAGAACTCTAAGCTTACTTAAAACAGGAGATTTCCTTCCACCTTTTTTTCCTCCTGTAACTCAGCTGCACAGCTCTCAAGTGTGGACTTTTAGATGATAATGTTGTGTCCCAATGTCAAAAGGTTGAACAAACCTAGGACCTTGCATCTCTCAAAGATGTGTTTATCTGAGGTAAATTGGATCAAATTAGAGAAGAAATAAGATATTATGAATGAGAACTGTCTCCACAGATTTGAGATATTGTAGTATAAAGGAACTATCTAGGAAATATGTAGGAAAATTTAAAATGAGATGGAAAGTGATCAGGAAAGAAAAACTATCATTGGAGCTGGAGAGATGGCTCAGCAATTAAGAGCACTGGCTGCTCTTACAAAGGACCTGGGTTCAGTTCCCAGTACTTACATGGCACCTAACAACTGTCTGTAACTCCAGTTCCAGGCGATCCAATGCCTTTTCCTGGCCTCTAAGGGCATTATATGCATGGGTGCATTTACATACATGCAGGCAACACACTCATACACAAAAAAAATAAAATAATCTTAATGACCAGGACCATCTGATTATTGAGTCTTAGTTCTGGAATACGTATTGCTTCTCCTTCATTCTCTCCGGTGCTGCCTTGAGGGTCTACAGGCACCTGCCTACACAGCTATGTATGTTTCACACTTCTTCCTGGAACTCACTATGTAGACCAGGCTGGCCTCAAACTCACAAAGATCCACCTGCCTCTGCCTCCCAGGTGCTGGGATTAAAGGTGTGTGCCACCATGCCCAGCTAGACTTCTTCATTTTATTCTCCCTGTTTCCTCACTGCTTTTTATATTCCCAGGAAAATCTGGGAAATATCAAATGTACCAAGTGAACTTTCAGAAGTGAAAAATATGTCAGTATAATTAAACACTCCATGGACAGTCCAAACAACTGACTGGACTTAGCTGAAGAGAGATGGGAAATTGGAAGATACATCTGAGGTAATTACTCTGGATGTGGCAGAATAAAACAAGGAGATGGGACTATAACAAGAGGTGAGGTGACATGGGGAATAAAATGAAAAAGTCTGAAATACACAAGGTAGGCGCCTGGAGACCCTCAAGGCAGCAGTGCATAGAATGGAGGAGAAGCAGTATTTGCAGGGATAATGGCTACATGTTTTCCAGAACTAAGACTCGATAGTCGGAAAGTATACTAATAGGATTAAAAACTTTATTACCTTTTTTTTACATTTATGTATTCAGTGCGTGTGTGTGTATCTGCATGTATGTACACACACACACAAACATGCATGTCACAGTGTGCATGTGGAGGTCAGAGAACAACTTGTGAAAGCCAGTACTATCCTTCCACAATGTTAGTTCTGGGGACTGAACTCAAGTCTTGTCAGCCTTGGTGACAAGTGGCTTTACATGATGAGTCATCTTGCCAGCCCCATTATTATACTTTTGAGATAGGGTCTTTCTCCGTAGCCTAGGCTGGCTTTGAACTCAGGATCCTTTGGCTTCAGCTTTCTGAATTTTGAGATTACAGGAATCCCAAATCACCATGCCCAGCTCCAAACAGGAGTTATTTATTTATTTTTCTTGAGACAGTGTTTTGTGTAGCTCAGGCTGGCTCAAACTTACTATGGATTCCTAATCTCTGTGCCTCTACCTCCTAAATGCTGGGATTATAAGCAGGTGCTACCCAGCCCAGAAAATGGGATTTTTTTTTCTTATAGGGTCACACCTATAACACTGTAATAGAACTGTAGAATATAAAACCCTGAGAATGTAAAAGCAGTCTGAGTGAAAAGACAGCTCAGACAAAAGACTGATCATGGGACCAGTAATATACTTGAGTCCTCAAGAGCAACAATAAAAGGCAGAAAGCAAAAAAACAGTATCCCAAAACAACTGAGAAAAATACCTCTCTAGGACTGTGTGCACAGCAAGACTATTCTTTTCAAGAAAAGGTTGACAGGAAGACATTCCTGACCACTATAAACAGTTTGGACTGGAGCTACGGCTTAGTTGGTAGAGTGCTTGCCTAGAACGTACAAAACTTGGTCCTCAACATAGCATAAACCAGGAGTGATATAGGGCAGGCCTGTAAACCTAGCACTCAGGAGGTGGAGGCAGGAGATCAGAAGTTCAAGGAAATCCTCAGTTCCAGGCAAGCCTTGGCTACATAGACCTAGTCTCCAAAAGACAAAATAACAACAAACAAACAAGACAAAACAAAAACCTCTCCACCCTAGTTTATCGTCAACATTTCTATACAAATGGAAGTTCTAAGAGCTATAAACCAGGAGCTAAGACAGCTCTTCAAGGAGAATTTGAGATTTAAGAAAAAAAATATGGCAGGGGAGATGGCTCAGTGGGTAAAGTGCCTGCTCCTCAACTGTGAGGACCTAAGTTTGGATCCCCAGAACCCATGTAATAGCTGGGTGGGTGTGGAGGCCCACCTATCACCCCACCAAGCTAGCCAGACTAGCCTAACTAGTAAGATTCGAGTTGATGGAGAGACCCTGCCTCAGTAAATACAGTAGCTGGAGAGAGATGGAAAAAGACACCTGATGTCAACCTCTGGCTTTCTCATGCACATACACAAATGTGCACACACATCTACACACATATATGAACATACATATACAAATACTGAGCATGGTTGCGAGTGCTCGTAACCCTAGCACTGGAGGGTGGAGACAGGGGATTCCGAGAGCTCCATGGCTGGCCAGTCTCATTGAAATGACGAGCTTCAGGTTCAGTGAGAGACCCCGTCTTAAGAGAATAAGGTGGAGAGTGACAGAGGAAGACATGGCTCTGGTCTCTACATGCCTGCTCATATGTGCACACCTGAACAATGACAGGCATGACACATCACATACCCCATACAACCACATACATACACATACCACACATACATACCACACACACTCCACATGCACCCACACATACCACACATACACACACAACATATATGCCCACTCACATACACCACTCACACATAAGCACACATAACCTCCTACATCTCACACACACACACACACACACACAAACACACACACACACACACACACGCACACACAGAAGCAAAGTGGAGAGTGACAGAGGAGACACCTGACATCCTCCTCTGGCTTCTCTGTTTGGACACGCATATATACATACACACACAAATGAAAATTTTAAAATATTTAAAAAACAAGTACAAGACCTGGGGACACTGACTTGACACAGTGGGCCTTAACATCCAGGACAGAGTATATGGGTTCCAGTGGGGGGGCTATGGGAGGGTGCTGGTGGGTACGGGGCTATAAAGGTGATTCAGATTGAGAGATTCTAAATGAAATACAACAAAATTTAATAAAAACAATTTTAAAAAAACAAGTACAAGATAAAGTTGAGCATGACGAACATGAACTGGGAAGTGCTGAGGGTGGAGTGAATGCCGCTGGGGCCTGGAGCCCAGGACAGCTCTCTGTGGTGTGTTACATGTTTTGTCTCTCATGGGATGAGTCCCCATGTTGATTCTTTCATATTGTAATTTGTTTGTACATCACAGAAATGCTTTTGTGCCTATTGGCTATTTCATAATTAAACTTTTCCTAAAAAAGGCTTTTGGGTCCATAGCACCATTCGACTCACCAGAATGCATCTCACGGTGTGGACAGCACTGGGGTCTTTATGGTTGGCTGCCCAGTGGAGTGGGATCTTGCCTTCCACATCAGGAATCCCTATGTTGGAGTCGTGCTTGATGAGCAGTTTCGCATGCTCGGGGTTGTTGTAGTAGGCACTCCAGTGCAGAGCTGTTTGCTGCAAGGTGGAGAGGGGCTCAAAATAAGAACCATGGCCACACCTGGCTTCCCGAGCATCTCCTGTGGCAGGCACTGCTGTGAGAGCTTATATATCACAGTCATCATGACATCTCTGGGAGACTTGATTTGCATGTGATTGATGTTAACAAGGAGAACAAGCAAGCTTCGCAAAGACATAAGGTGGCTGAACTGAGACTGACCCAGGCAGCGTGACTCCAGAGTCCGACCTCTTATTCATCAGTCAGTTGGTTCCTTAACTACTGCTAAATTATAGGGAAAAAAAAGATAATTTATGAAAAATTGTCAGTGGGGCAAGTGATGTCTCTGATGCTGTGCCTCTGGGCATCACCAGGCACCTTAGGCTTTCATAGAATGATTTCAATTTTAATGTCTATCAGGAAGAAGGTATACCATAGGAAATCCATAGATCTGGGATACTTCATATTAAAAGATAAATTGAAGGTACTTTTACAGAGTTATAGCTAAGCCTAGCTACTGAAGAAAAGATTTTCTTTTTTTTTTTTTTTTGTCTTTTGTCTTTTGTCTTTTTGAGACAGCCCACCTGGCCTGTTGGCCTGGAATTCACTGTGTAGATCAAGCTTGCCTTGAATACATCTTTTACTAAGCAATAGCCTACCTCAAGTAAAGCACCTTATTTGCACCATGGCTTTCAAATATGAAGAAAGTAATTCCGTGTATCTATCTAATATTTACATAGATAATTAACAGTCAAAACTGAACGTGACCAATCTTTTGTTAATATCTATTATCCTTTTTTCCAGTCTTTTTCTTTCTTTTTCTTTTCTTTTTTTTCAGAAAGGGTCTCCCTGTAGTGGGACTGCCCTGGACCTTACTATGTAGACCAAGATGGCCTTGAACTCACAGGGATCCGCCTACCTCTGCCTCCCAAGTGCTGGGATTAAAGGCGTGTGCCACCACGCCCGGTGAAAAGATACTTTTTAAAAATATATATTTTATTTTTTATTTTATGTGTATGCGTGTATTGCCTGCATGTAGATAAGTGCACCCGTGTCGTGCAATGCCCGCGGAAGACAGAAGAGGCTGTTGGATCCCCTGGAATCGGAGTTACAGACAGTTGTTAGCTGCCACGTGGGTGTTGGGATTCAAACCCCGGTCTTCTGTAAGAACAGTCAGTGTTCTTAACCACTGAGCCATCTCTCCAGCCCAAGAAAAGATACTTTAAGAAAATATATTGGCGGGGCTGGAGAGATGGCTCAGCAGTTAAGAGAACTGACTTGCAGAGGAACAAGGTTTAATTCCCAGCACCCACATGGCCACTAACAACCGTCAGTAACTCCATTTCCAGGGAATCTGTCGCTCTTTTCCGGTCTCTTCAGGCATTGCATGACACAGGTGCATTTACATACATGCAGGCAAAATCTCATACACATAAAATAAATAAAATATTGTTTTCTTAAAAAAAGAAAATATAAAGCCAGGTGTGTTGATGTACACCTTTAATCCCAACACTCGGGAGGCAGAGGAAGGCGTATCTCTGTGAGTTCAAGGCCAGCCTGGTCTATATGGAAAGTTCCAGGTCAGCTGGGGCTACAGGGAGACCTAGTTTCAAAAAGACCAAAAAAGAAAAAAGAGAAAGAAAACATACTGGCCTTTTCTTTATTTCAAATAAAAGTTCAGAGAAGCGAGTAGTAATCCTGAACTTGTTGAAGTTGCTTGTAAGGCAGGCTTCCCTATGAGAAGAGTGGTCCCAGAAAGAAATGGAAGATGCTTAGATATACAGTATGTTCTCATAGTGGCATACCCAAATATCCAGTCTGGAACTGGGTAATCTATGAGCAGGAACCAAGCTTGTCTGTCATGAAGACTTTAAAAACTGACATATATGGTATTCATTTAAAGTGTACTTACTGGCATTTATTAGAATATTAAATCAATATTAAGTCATTACCTTTTAAAACAAAGATGTATTTTATGTTTATTTATGTAGATATGAATGCCCACACTCAAGAGTGCCTGAAGAGACCAGAAGAGGGCATCGGATCCTCTGGGACTGGAGTTACAAGCAGTTATAAACTGCCTGATGTGGGTGCTGGGAGAATAAGATGGCAGGATTAAAGTGAACCACTTTCCTGGGTGTAACGCAGGTCTTCTTGAAGCTTGACACCATAAAATGAAGCTTTCACTTTCTTTTCACGTTTGTCTTTGCCCTTGACAGTCTATTACGTTGTTTTTTAAAAAAACATCTTTATTGATTCAAGAATTTCATACAATGCATTTTGATCATATTCAGACCCTTCCCCATTTTCTACCCCCCACCTTACTACCCCCATGACTTACCTTGTTTTTGTCCTGGGTATCCACTTCCCCAGGGGCCATGAACTTCAGCAGAAGTGTTAAACACTTAGGGCTCTTGTGCCGGGTGGTCAGGTGCAAAGGCGTCATCTCCTCTAGATCCTTTTGCATCCAGTTTGCTCTGCGTGTAAGTAAGAGCTTCATAAAGCGATAATTTCCCTAGGTGGAGAAAAGAAAAAGGGAAGACAAGTAAACATGCAGAAAAGTTAATAAGGGAAAGTATCGCTGCACTAAAGTAGCCAATTGCTTTAGATCACACATAAAATTTATAGTGTCTGGCCGACATTTTATTGAGTGATGCAACATGCTTAATATTTAACAGTCTGTTGTCGAATATTTCAAATATTAGTATACTATTGCACATGCAGAATCTAAATTATTAAATTCTAAAATTTATTAGAGAAAATGCTTCAATGTCCATATTTTTTAAATATGTAACACTTCAAAAATTTGCATTCAATTTTTACCTTTGTTTTTCACAAGAATAAATTATTAGAAGTCAAATTTTTGGGTCAAAGTTTGTACATTTTATGGTTTTTGAGTGTATTTTCCAAGTTACTGCCTAGTAACAGCAATATGTGGATGTACTGGCTGCCTCTCCCCAGTACAGTAAATTCTGATCAATAAATATAAATAAACCTATTATGTATAGACTTATTTTCACTGTGATCTCCCTCTAAGCTGTCAACTACAGGAAGGTAGGGACTGTGCTCCACTGACTACTGCACTCAGCACAATTCCTGGTACAAAATAGGTGCTTAAAAAACAGAAAAATTACATGAAAGACTGAGTATGAAGAAATAAAATAGTTCCAGAAGTTTTTGTTCTCACTTAAAAATTTTACAGCTGCTACATGAGAGCAGACCAACTACAAGTATCAATTCTCAGGTAGCTGGTGTTTGGCTTGCCTCACTTGTGAGCCTCATTGGTTGACCTGAGTTTTAGGACAGGACTGGCCCTGGCTTCTCATTTACTTGTCTCTTGAGAAGGAAAATGCCACAATTTCCTCAAGAGGGCGCTCTGCTCTAAACTTCTTGCTATCTTTACCTTGAAAAAAGTGCTTGGTAAAAAGGAGAAAAAAACTACTGACACTTCATACCAAAAAATAAGGTTTGGCCTTTCTGAACATAGCATTTCAAATATTACAGAATAATTCATTATGACCTTTTAGAGATATTCAATCAGACAATTGTTTTGGTTGTGCAATCAGAGAAAACAGGAAGGAAATGGAAAGTCATATATTTTGGGAATGGGACTACTGAGCTATAGACATGGTGCTTGGTGAATTTATGCTTTACGTTATTCTTGGGACTCAAAGTTCACTACCCACATGGCACATGCCAGTAATATTTGCTTATTCATCCATTCAACAAACATTCATTAAGTATTGTTATGAAGGAGACAGACATATATTTGCAGTTGACTATGACAGAGCTTTTGACATAGATTTCATCTTTGTGCCTCACTAAAGTACTGTGAGAAACATCTACAGAATAAACAAATCACCCTCCTGCCCCTATTTCCTCACTTGTGAAGCAGAGATAATAACAGGACCCACAATTATTATGCATGAGAAATGAGGTGGCTGATATTTGTAAAGCACCTGGAACAAAGCACAAAGTGGGTGCTCAGCAAAGGTTTGCTAGGATTTTTATGAACAGCTTTTCAAGGTAGAGGACACAACAAACATGAACGGTGAGGTGGGAAGAAGAATGGCCAGTGATAAAAGGCAGCAGGTAGAAAAGCTTGACTGTTTATTTATGGTGCAGCTAGTGATTAAGGAGAGAACCAAACTTAGGGAGAACAGAAGTCAAAATAGTTGGAATGACATAAATAACAGCTTTTCTGTGTTTTCCTTACATTGAGAAACATGTCTGTGCTCTACCCACAGATCACAATACATGTTCAACAGGGCATACTCAACTGGAATTTGGCTGGTACCCTGGGGAGGAGTCAGCTCTGTGAACAGGCTGGCTTCTCCTGTTCTGAAGGATAGATACCCATCCAGTATTCTGTTCACAGCTGGGGCTAGAAACAACATAATTCAAGGTCAACCTCCTTGGTTTCATGAAGAAGCATTTATTAAACGCTGACTGTGTGGGCAGAAGAGGCACAGAACTTTAATGAGAGGGGCTGAGCACGAGCTTGTAGTAGAATGTACACCTGAGGACCTGGGTTTAATGCTCAATAATGAAGAGAAAATGGATTTGTTTTCCTTTTTATGTGTATGTGATGTTACGTGTGTTTTGTGTATGTATGCACATGTATTTGTGGGTCAATGACATGTGGGTGTGTGTAGGCCAGAAGTTGGCATCAGGCATCTTCTTTGATCACTCTCCACTTTACTTTTTGAGACCAGGTCTCTCACTGAACTTGGAGCTTCCCAAGTGGACAAGACTAGCTGGCCAGCAAGCCCCAGGGAGCCTTCCACCTCCACCTCCTCATCATTAGGGTTATAGCATGCACCGCCACACCTGGCGCTTTTATGTGGGTATTGGGAATCCAGACTCAGATCCTCATGCTTGCTTGCAAGCACTTTGCTGCCTGAGCCATCTCCCCAGACTTCAGCAGGCCTTTTTTAATGTCATTGGGAAAGGAAGACACTACTTGGAAGAGCAACGACTGTGTCAACTCTCGGAAGCTTGCTTGACCCTGAAGTCTCATGCTAGAGGGTATTTTGTTCCCTATAAAGCCCCCTTAGAACAGAAACATGTGAACAGAACATTTCTTACTATTCCCTCATTGTCTTAGTTACAGCTTCAACTGTCAACTAGATGCAGCTTAGGGCTGCCTGAGAAGGCAGTCTCAACTGTGGGAGAGCCTAGATCGGATTGGCCCGACTGTGGGGGATTGTCTTGTTAATTGCTGTAGGAGAGCCCATTCCACTGTGGGTGGCACCATTCCCTGACAGGTAGTCCTGGGCTGTATAGGAAAGCCAGGTCAGCAAGAGAACCATCAAACAGCACTCCTCCATGGTTTCTGCTATACTTCCTTGGCTGGGAGTGAGAGCTAATGCTGAGTGGAAGTGCAGGCAAGCCTGCCTTGAGTTTCTGCCTTCACTTCCCTCAGTGATGGATTGTGACACCAAAGTGTAAACCAGATAAATCTTTTCCTCTCCTAAACTGCTTTTGGTCAGAGCGTTTTATCACAGCATCAGAACAGAACTAGAACACTCAATATTACCTGAAATAGGAATTCATCCAGGTTTTAGACATAGGCTTACAATGCATGTATTTAGAGGATGATTTGAAGTTAAATCATTTAGTGGTTCTTAGGGTCAGGTGAGGATTGCTTCTTTGGGGATTTGCTGCCCGAGAGACAGTCTTGACTCAGTCACTAATCTCAGGTTCCTCTGATATGATCAGGTGCTGATGTTTCTGAGATGCGAAAACATTACCAAATGTCTCTGAAGCAGTGAGTAATATGGGTTTTTATTAAGCAGTCATAATTTTCATCATCCTTTATTAGTAACAGATCTTCTGATAACCACAGAGAAGATTATGACACTTGGATTTTCCCCAAATGTATGAGAAACAGAGATTACTCTAAAAGGGTGAAAAAAAATTGACCTAGAGAGCATGAGACGAATGGAAATAAATCTGGGTGAGTCAGCCCCAAATGCCAATTTGAACTTCACAGATTAGTCTTTAGAGATAATTCTTAAGATGAACTCCTTTTTTAGAAGCATACATACAACGATTTACTCTGAATAACAATAATATGGAGATTTTGAGTAAATTACTTTGATATTTTCCATTTGAATTTTTATTTTAAAGTAATAATGCATAATGGGCTGGGAGATGGTTCAGTTGGTAAAGTGTTGTGCAAGCATGAAGACCCGAGTTTGAGCCCCAGCACTCATGTAAAAATATGAGTGTGGAGTTGTGCTCCCATATTCCCAGCACTGGGGAGGTAGAAACAGGAGGATAAATGGGGCTTTCTGGCCAGCCAATATAACTGAATTGAACCTTGTTCAGTGGAAGACTGTCTCAAAATATAAGGTGGAGAGTAACTGAGGAAAATACCTGGCATTGACCTCTGACCTCCACATGCATGTGCACACATGTGCTCGCACACCTGCACATACCTGTGCACATGCATGAACATGTACACATATATAATATATACATGTATAGCATACCACACACACACACACACACACACACACACACAGAATAAAGCCTAACAATTAGGGCAATTTTTCTTTTGTGTAGCCAACTACTTTCTCCCTTTTTGGAGACTATGACTCTGAGTTGGGTGTTTCTCAGTCCAATGCATTTTTTATACTTTTATTTCATAGAAACATATATATCCATAAACTAAAGGGTGCTATTTTACATGTTCTCTATAAAAATGGTTCTGTATGAGTCACTGGCCATTTATGACTCAAAGCAATCTAGTTAAAGTTTTCTTCAGGTTGCTCTGGTCCATATATTTTCACCAGAGTAAGAAATTCTGTTCTAGGAATATATATGTGTTCTTTTCTAGAGAGATACTTAGCACGTTTATCATTTTTCTTTTTTAAAATGTTTTATTTATTATTTTTATTTTATGTGTACGTGTGTATTGCCTGCATGTAGGTAAGTGCACTCATGTCATGCAATGCCCACGGAGGTCAGAAGAGGCTGTCGGAACCCTGGATCTGGCATTACGGACAGTTAGCTACCATGTGGGTGCTGGAATTTGAACCCGGGTCTTCTGCAAGAACAACCAGTGTTCTTAACCACTGAGCCATCTCTCCAGCCCCACATTTATCATTTTTCATAATCAGTGTTGAATTGTCTTGTACAAATTTCATTAAGTGTACAGGAATTTCTGAAACTTCTGGACTCTCTAAAAATAGCTATTCCAACTGTATTTCCACTGGAAACCTGAAAATCCCTATTTCTCCTTCTTCGTTCCACTTGGTTTTGACTTTTGCCAATCTAACTGGTGCACAGTTGTGCTTTTACCATAACTTTAATTTGCGCTTCCCTAATTAAGGTGGAGTATTTTGTTGGCTACTTGTTTCTTCTGTGGATAGTCTTTTTTGTGCTGTTTGCTAATTTGAGAACTTGGCTATTTGCTTTTCTTAGTGGAATATTTTTACATCTTCTGATACTAATTCTTGGG